CCCAAGAGCTTTATACCGGATCACTCGCATTATCTCACTTAGCCCTTCTTGTAACCAGTTCCAGGAGTCATCTGGGAGCTGGCCAGAGTCAGAGTCTCTGAAGGAAGGGGACATCAAGAGGTCAGGATAGCTTAGCTCTATCACCCAGTGCAACCCACTCCTTAGCCGAGTTCTAATTAAACTTTATAAGCCAGCTTATAAATGGCATGGGTTACATAATAGTTATTTTCACACAGGGATTTTTCTGAGTATAGTTTGAAAGCTAAGGCTACTTGCAAATATGAAGGACATGCTTCTGAAGTGGTATTATCTAGCAAAGGATTTGATTAGAGCCCCAGAATAAATTTAGGTGATTATAAAGTGCTTGATGTCAGGCAAGGTGGAAGAGGAGAGGATGGAGGGAGAGAGGGTGGGGAAGGCAGCCGAGGAGGCAGCCCTCACCCGAGTGCACCTTGATGACGTGCACATTCAGCTTGAAATCCTATTGCATGAGACTGGGGGGACACTATAGGGTTCATGTCTTTTTCAGTTATTGAATTCACATTCTGACAACAGGGAATACTGGAGTCAGAAATTGTTAAATTCTGACATGTTCTAGATGCCATTTTAAGTTGACTGTCCAAGATAGAATGTATTTGTATAGCCCCTGAAGCCCAAGGCTCACAGCAGCCCTCCACATTTCTAAGCAGAAGAAACTAAATATGTAAAAGACTAGGGCCACATAGGAAACCAGTGGGAGCCAGAAAACCAATTTTTCTTCATCACCTTATGACACTGTCCTCTTCTTTCTGAATCTGTACAGCTTCGCGTTCCTTGGAGAATTTATAGGTTCAGATGTTTCTGACTCCACCTACTCGGCTTTCCTTCCTCATCTATACACCATATGGAAAACAAACGCACTGCTCCTGGGGTTTAGCAATACTGTGCAGAGCAGGGCAAGCAGCAGCAGGGGGTACTGAGGGTGTGTGCGTGCTGCCTCAGCATGGAGACGCGAAGGGAAGGGCTGGAAGGCAGGAGCAGAGTGTGCTTAGATGTTCAGGGAAACACACCGAGATGGAGGTTGGTGCATGATGGTGACTACCATGCGTCAGCAGGAATGAGTGGCTCATTGTTATTGTTCTCAGGCTCTGGCCTGCCTAGAGTGAATTTTTGCTCATGGTTATTTCAGGGTAAGCTTGGGTAAAAGCCCCTTCATTATCAGGAGTCTGTAGTAGCCTCTTCTGTTGTGAGAAGTCTGTAATGGCCTTATAAAGGCTGTTCAGGGACAAGGCCCAGGTAGAGGGCACAGAAAGGAAAGCGTGCTGGTTCTTTCTGCAGCTTTCCGCCTACCTAAGGATCTTATTTTACCAGTCACTAAATTATTTCAACAAACCTGTCGCTCCAGTTCTTCCAGTCAGTTTCAAACCTTTACAGGTACACGGATGCTGAAACAGGTATCAGTTATCATCCTAATCCACTCAGCACAGCCAGTCTGATCATGGGCAAGACAAAGAGCTGATGAAATGTTTTCTTCATTCCATGCTGTGCATGGACAACCACATAGACTAACACTGTTCACTGCATGAAGCATAAGGGTAGGGCTTCCATCGTGTTGAACAACCAGAACAAGAGATGTCACTAAAAGGAAGACAAACCCTGACAACACTCAGAGCAGAGTAGGTGAAAGGGCCCGGACACCAATCTGCCTTGGTTGGAATCCCAGGTCCCTTACTTATAAGCTGTGTGATCTTGTGAAAGTTACCTAACTTTTCCGTATCTCAGTTTCTAATCTGTAAAAAAGGGGGAATATCATCTTAACATCTACCTTATGTTGGGAGGATGAGAGGAGTGAAAAGGTTATTGGTAGAGTGCCCGGTACTTAGAAAGACTTCATAAAAGTTTGTTAAAAAATATTTTTGTGTGTCACAGCACAGATAGCTTGGGCATATTCACTCATCACTGTTTGCTTCAGAACAACACTATGGAAAAGTCATCAGGTTGTTCCTTGCTTGCAAAGAATACAACCAGTACTGGAAAGCAGGGTAACTGTGGACGTTGTCCACACTTAGCAGGATCACAAAACATCATTTTGAAACCTACTGGTGGCAGTGAGACTGCTGTTAAGCCACTGAAGTGTTAAGTCTGGGCTTCCATTGTGCTTGTGACATATTTGTTGTCCTTTCCACCAAGATCCCTTTTCAGTGAGTGGGGCCCAGGCTCAGCCAAGTCACCTAGCAAAGGACAACTGTCAATTCTGTTTGACTGTGGTGTATATCAGGCCAAACTCAGAGACAGGACAATAGAAACCCTGCAGAAAGAGCAACAAAGGGAGGGGAGAAAAGCCCTGCCTGTTCCTTTTTGGGCTAACAGGAAACCCTGGGGCAACTCTGGAGGCCATCGGGAACTGGTTGCCTCTGGCTTTGGATTTGGCCTCCAGGGGTCTGTGAAGCCTGTGGCCATCACTGCCTGTTGCTATGGCTTTGCACCCTAGGATCCCCAGGAGCGCCAACCAGTTCTTAGGAGCTCCTAACTACCTCATATTCTGGCCACATCTCCTAAGGATGCTCCAATCCTTCCCCACCCGCCCCTGATCTGTGCAGACCTCAGGGAGCCTGATTTGGGTTCTGCATAGAAATTGGTGGCCCCAGTGCAGCCCATGGTGCTCTGTAGTTCGGTTGAAAGTTGCAGGGCCTAGCACAGCCTGCGGGCTCACAATCGGAAAGGCCCAGGCTGCCTCAAAAGAAAACATGATGGCCAGCCATCTCCTCACGGGCATCTCTCCAGCCCTTCTCAGAGTGAGCTAAATGCCACACTCCATTGATCGGTGGGTAAGTCATTATTGAGCTGACAGTGAGTGCACATGGGGTGTGAGAGCTGTAGAGAAGGACAGATAAGGGAACAAAAACAACCTGGGACAATATTAGGATTTATGTATAAAAGAAGGACCCTCCGCCTTCTCTCCTAGGCATGGCTGGGCTATTCACTCGTTCACCATTCTGGTTATCAGCCAGCGTGCCACTTCCCAAGGCACTACCAAGAAATGGACAGTGTGACGACCCAGAACTACAAGGCCCTTTCTTTGTGCTGTGCTGACCTCTAGAGGCTTCTAATTAAAAGGCATCCCAAAGGACCAACTTAATTTTACTGCCAGTTTCTATATTCATGTTGTTGCCCTATTATCCAAGAAAATAGGGAGGAGCAAATATCCCCGTTCCTTGAAATGTTACCTAATAGAAAATGCCTAGCTTACCCTTTGGCTGCCTAATTTATAAATGTTACTGTTTTCTGCTCCAAAAAGGAAAACGGGTGGTTCGGAGATAGGGAAAATAATTCAAAGTTATTTGCCTGCTACGGAACGAAGACAGAAGTACAGTGCCAGCTGTTTCAGGGTGCATTTCTTGAGTTTCCAAGGCACCAGAAGGCCAGGCCTGCCAAAGGAAGAAAGGAATGTTTGCTCGACCCAACCCAGCCAGGGTAGGGTGGACCTGCCAGACGCTCCAGCAGACAGGCAGCACAACCACCTGCTCCGGCCCCGGTGCAGGGCTCAAATGCTGGCCATGGGTTTTATTTTGCTACTTTTACTCCAATCCATTCATGTTCACAATAAACACTAGGGGCAATGGGGTGCCCACCTGCCCTTACTTTATGACGAAACAAGACTCATTTCTAAAAGAAATGAGACTTTTACATCCCTAAGCAAAAAATACCAAAATTTCCTATTTTACTGTAGCGTTATATTCCATATTATTGATCACATATGGAAGGGAAATACAGGAAGGCAGGAAAAAATATTCTGGGATGTCAGCATTTGGGCTAATATGCACCCACTATTTTGGCTGGGGTCTTTATTTTTAAGAGGGAACCTAGGGAAGATGAGTTCAAAATCAGAGAGATACAGTTTTGCCAGTATCAGTCACCCAGCCCTGGTTCTGTCACACAGTATTTTCCTTATAAACTTTTTCACGCTCCTAAACCCCAAAAGCCAAGAAACACTGCCACAATGCTAATGCCTGGAGGTAACATGAAATGAGCCCACCCTCTTTATTTTTACAGATGAGGAAACAAGGAGGGAGTGTGGGGGGAGAGGTGACAAGCCTGTCACACAGACTGTCGGGGGAGACAACTGGGCTACCACCTTTTCCCCCAGCCACCCAGTTTCAGAATGATACACTGCAATGGGGAACTTCAGCTCCTTCTAACAACAGTTCCTATTGGTGACTGAAGATGCCAATTTGCATTTTTTAAAGTATATCTGTGAAAATGACTGAGTAAGAGTAACAAAGGAATTCTCCCAGAGAATGGCTTTGTCTGGGTAAAATCATGCCACCACCTTGCTGAGGTTAGAATCTTAGACTGAGCGAGGTTTGGAATGCTTGCACACAGCCCACTACTCAAGAACAATCTCCGACAACAGCCATATGGAAAACAAAGAACCACAAATGTGGAGTTATCTGAAATACACACACAAGCCGCTATGCTGTGCCTATATGGGCAATCTCACACCTAATTAATAGTCTTCAGAGACCGATTCACTTGCAGAAAGAAACTTGCTCTTAACCAAATAAAGGGACTTACCACCAACTTTCAAACTTATTCTTTAAATGCCATTGTTTCTGAGTAACAATACCTGGGAGGAAAACAGTGGGGAAATGGTGCCATCATACAATCACCACAGATTTCTAATTGGTGCTACAAAGGATTCCCAACAAGGATAGGAAAATAGAGGGTCCTACATACAAATCCAAAGTACTAATTTCAAAGACAAGGGGAAAATTACTAAATGCCAGCTACACCGGCAGCAGTGACATATCAGTGTTGCGTTGACTATGACATGGGAATCCTAGCAGTGGTTCACACAAACACCTCTCCCTCTCCCCCGACTAGGCTTCCCCTGCACCTGGCCCCAACAGCAGCAGCCACAAGCTGGCGGAGAGTTCTTATTCCTTGTTCCTCATTTGTATCACATTAGGTGACCTCTAGCACCAAATTGTGGAGGGAGTAAAAAACAGGCAAACACCACGAGAGTTTGGAAGGCTCTTTAATAGCAAGCGTATGGTAATTACACTGTTGGATGACATCCTCACTCGGGGAAGGAGGAAGGAGCAGATGTAGACAGGGTTTGATTTAGGATTTACACTGCTTGAAGTATCTAATGAAGGGCAACAATTTTTGGCAACCCATTTCACAGGTTTTGTGATTTACAAGTGATTTCTTTGAAAGGAAATATAAAAGCAAAGAAAGCATACACACCCTGCACAAAACATTTCTGGCCTAAACCCCCAGGCCCCAAATTGTTCCTTGCTGTTTCTTCTCATGAGAGCTAAACTTTGCTCTCATACACAAACTAAGACTGGTTCACAGCTGGTTTCAGGCTTTCCTTAAAACTGATGATTTACTTCCTCCTCTAAAAAACTGACATTTGTACAGAGTACCACTCTGTATCTTTATCTACCCAGCTATCAGAAGGTTCTTAAAGTAAAAAAATAAATTTTTAAAAACAAAAACAAAAGAGAAAACCAAGAAAAGGCAGTTTTAGAAAGAGCAGACTGTCAGCTTTTTCTGTGGTACAGTGTAACTTGAATATAGTTCTTAGCAAATTAAATGTTCATTTTTATGTGGCCTGGTGCACCCTTTTAACTGTGCTTTTCAGCCTTACAGTGCTTTAAAGGGGCTTTCTAACATGAAATGCTCATAGATTCTCTATTTCTGTAATCCAAATTGAAATAAAAATATTGACAACGTATTACTTAACATCTGCCCAGTTAGCGTGAGCTATATAGATATTTTACCATGGACACCAGAGGCAACTGGCCTTCTGGCAAGTTTCAGAATCATTTTGTATACAATCTAAAAGACTTCTGTCTTTCATGTCATACCTGGTGTCACAAAACCAAGGTTAACTGATTAGGACTTTTTGGAAGGGCAGTAGTTTTTAACACAAAAAAACGGAGGCCCGTAATCTGAAGATGAGACAATTGGCAATAGTATCTCTTTGGGACTAACATTCACTACAGGAAAAGGGGATCTGCAATCCGCTTGAGCTTTAATTGTGCTCTGTCTGCGACCTTGAAGCATGAGGAGTCTTTGCCCTCTGGCCCACAGAGCATTCCTGAAGCTTGGCCTCCTCTGCAGCTGACAGCAAGATCCAGTTTGGTTCACACTCTGCTTGCAGGTGACTGGAGCTCCTCTCAGATCTGTTAGCACTTTGGAAATTTAGAGAGGTTTCTCTGGCTGCTTTGTGGAGGAAAAGAACTCCACCAAATGTGCAGGACATCTGCTGTCTCCTTAGCTGGGGGACATTTTTAAAGCCACCCACAACATAGGCTTTGCCTGTCAACATGCCTTTGAGGAGGGCAGGCTCCTAGTAAGATAGCCATGACAACAGTTTTCCTGCATCTCACTTGGTAACTGCCCCCTGGGTTTTTTTTTTTTAAAGAATCATAGCCTAACTCTCCCCTTCTCCCTTCCTCATCTTCCACCCAGCTTAAGTCCTGCCTAGTCCTATGTGCTCGCAAACTGTGGGAAATCCAATTTGTTCATACTATAGTTTCCCAGCTCGTGAATTTTAATATGTAAGGCAGATTCCTAAAATACACATCCCAACGATGCTCTGGTATCACCGCTCCCCTAGATTCATACTTTGTGCTCTTATGAAACAGAAACAATACAGATGGAATTGTGCTGGAGAAAAGTTTCTGCTTACCAAGAAAAATAACAGTAACTATGAGAGGAGAGAAGTTTTCACTTATGTACACTGAGAACCTAATTCTGGCCCCAGAACATAAGGAAAATTCCTAAATAAGAGACATTTATGTTCTAGTCATGGGGAACAAAGGACTAGATGCTTCTAGGAGGAGGCTAGGAGACCAGATGGACACCTTGGTGTAACTGAGTAAGGGTGGCAGCAGGCGCTGGATGGGGTCTCACCCCGCCAACTCCGGCTCCAACTCCCGGAAGTCAGCAAGGCGTATCATCAGGCAGAGAGAAGTAACCTGGTAGCCTATAAGAAACATGTCTCTGGATTCCCTCACACCAGGATCAAGGTTGTGTCATGTTATCATAAGCATGAATTCACAGCTGGCCCCAGTGATCAACGTGCAATCATCCCTCTTCACATACCTGCACACTCACCCCACTCACACTCACGCACACTCTATGACTTCCTGGATGATACGGCAAAAAAGTAAAAGCACTCATCTTTCCCTCTCTTCCAGCTATTCTCCATGCAAACTTCCCCTCAGCTAAGTCAAACTTACTCCAATTCAAAGCCACACACAGTCTGTCTGCCTTCCATAGACAGGGCACGTACAACCAGACAGATTTGTTATCTCTGTCTACTGGGACCTTACTTTACCCTCATCAGCCCCTCAGGATCAGGCCCTAGGAGGTTTGGACACTCACGAACCACACACACTGTGGCCAACATCCTCAGGACAGTATCTCTGCAAGATTCAAAGCATTTCCTTCTCACTTACACAGTCCCCGGCAGAGTCAAGTCTGTCTCCCAACTCCTGGGTCAGTGCTCCTCCCACTCAGTCCACACTGCCTCATGGTGAAGTGTGTTTGTATATTTCTGAAAGTCAGGAACTGGCCTGGCCACGGAACCATTCCCATAACAAAACTATAGACCGCCCGACTCACTGACCAACCAGGGGAGGCTGTCGCACGCTCTAACGCCACACATGAACTGCACGGGGTATCCGTGCAGGCGGGACTGACTGTGCACACGGGCGCAAGCACTGGCAAGCCCTGGTGGGGATGTGTGAAGTTTTAGAGGATTTTCCCATGAAAGTAAGTAATATACAAAGTGTTATCCCCTACCCCTGGGGCAGAACACAGACCAGATTTCTTTTCTGCTCACAGAACGCCTGAGTGATCGCAGCTTAATTTTTGTAAACAGAAAATATTAACATAATAATACCGAAATGCATTTGGTCGAAGCCTAAGCACTTTTTTTTATAAGATACATTTTTATATTAATGTCCATTCCATTTTCAAACACATGTAAATTTAGAAGTTAGACTTCCATGTATAAAATTTCAGTTTACCTTTGAATGGAGCAAGCTAGTCAAGTTCTTCATTTCAGTTGCAGAAGTCATTCTTTCTGCCTGTTGTGTTAAAGTAGAGGTTTCCAAGCCTGGGAGATGCCTCACTATGCCCTCTGCTCAGGTACAGAGCCAATCAGCAAGCAGGCAAGGGAGCAAAGCACAGAATACACTCGCCCCACTGGATAAAACACCAAGGTTTGTTCTGTTAATAGGCTACTTGGAAGGAAATTCATTTTACTTGAAATCAACCTTTACTAAGTTTTTCCAAGAAAAGAAAAAAATGTGGGCACTGAAGGATGGATGGAACCACTGTATGATTTTACCAGATGACTTAAAAACTGCAGTACACTATTTACCACGAGCAGCCACTCCGCACAGCACCAACCAATTAAACAGGAAATGTTGAGATAATCAGGTTTACAGTGACATGCCTGGGAGATATACAAGACTCCCAGAAGCTCTGTGGCCTCTGCTGTTTTTTCTTTTTCTTTTTAATCCAAAACTTTGAGAACCTAACAGGCACCTATGTGCATGTTAAAACATACCCACCCCCCGAGATGCTATGTTGAGTCAAGTGCTGTATAAGAGGCATTCTGCATCCTAAGTCATTATGCCAGGGATGCAGAAGAGTCCAAAGAAATGAATGTTTTAAATAATTCCACGTTAGCAATACAAAGGATTTCACCTGTATTTGTTGGCTAAATGAGGACATCAGTGTTTCCAGCTATGACAGCAGTCATTCTGTGAGTTGTCTGAATATTTTGATCATTAAAATTTCCCCTCTGAACCAAGCTAATCCTTGATTAAGAAGATTCCCACCCTGTATCGCTTTAGAAATCCACTTTAATTAGATTCTTTGAAACACTTATGATTTTTTAGTAAGTTATACAGTGGGATACTTTTCTTGATTTCTTTTTTTTAAGGAATAAAAGATTAAGAAAGTAAAGGATTCCATCATATTAAAAAAAATTTTTATCCTGGTTTATTTTCCCATTAAATTTATCTATGGCTTCAAAGTTTAAGTGGCACTTGGATTTTGGATGTTTTCATGATTTAACAAGTTGCCATCTCATTATAAAGAGATAAGGTAAATGTTTCATCTCATATGTGGGACAGCTTATAAACTTTAAAAATAAATCAATAATTCATGTCACCCATTTATTATTTTCACTATTAGACTTTAAAAGTGCCTTTGGAATTAGCATGTTTTAAAATAATTGAACATGCAAATAATGTTAATACCTAACCATGACCCCGTTACTATATATCCAGGTAATTTAGTAATGGCAGAACATTTAAACAAAGGCTTCCCTGTCTCTCTTACCCTCTTAATCCAAAGCTAAGTGATTATCCTTTTCTGCCCTTGTGTTTGCACTTGAGCAGTTTAATGACTAGATATTAAAACTCATGCTTTTTAAGCAAACCCTTTCACTTACGGACACTTAAAAGGTACATAAAAAGTGAAGACTGCATTTCTTCTCTGCCATGCTTTCCCTCAATAATGTCCCCTGTCGAGGACTCCAGACATATCCTTAGCACATTCAGAGTTCTCTACATTCAAGTCAGTGAATGTTAGTTCTTCAACATAAACACAAGAGAGAACAGTCGGCCATGAAATGGATTCTAAGTTCAAAATGGCAAAGGCTACCAAGACACTACCATAGAAACCCACTGAAACGGGAGTCAAATTCAGGTCACTTCTGAGCAAAACTCATTCCAGATATTTTGTGGTCATTAAAAAGGTACTTCATTTTAATTTGGAGGCTGGGAGTCAGATGGCCCGTTTTGAAGTGCTAATGCAAAAGGCTAACCCAGGAGCACGCGACCCCACCTTGGGTACCACGGGCTACTCTTTCCCTCTCAGGTGGGAGCCCCCGGAAGTTTACTGCTGACTGACCCCCATTTGGGGGTGGTCCGCCTCTGGCTCCTCCTCTTCCACGTCTGCACTGTACTCTTCAAAGGCATCGTCATCGGCATCTGGAAGCCCCAGTAACTACAGGGGAGAGAAGAAGAGCGGCAGTGAGTGCCGGTGGCCCATGGACAGGAAGATCCAAATCTGACAGCACCGAACAGGACTGAGCACAGCAGCCACAGACTTCCTGTGGCAGCAACCACCCTTACAATTATTTTCATAACATTAATAGATGGAAATGTCAGTCCTCCATTGGATTGGTGCCCAAAGGGCTAGGTTTTATTGGGGAGACTGGAAATTCTCTACTTTTAATTATCAAAACATGGCACCCCACAGTGCCTATGCAGAAGGATGTATCTGTGCACATGCATGCATTGCTGGGACATTAGCCATAGTACAATGAACAGTGTTCACTGTCCCATTGAGATATCAAAAATCTATTCCCCTCTATGCTTCTTCCCCCAAAAGCATATGCTGCTATTAATTATAACATACATATACAAATGTGGCAACTATTACCATGTTCAACAAAATGGTTACATAAATTATGGTGTAGCTACAAGATGGACTCTTTACATCCACTTTAATAGTGTCTTTGAATAATTTAATGGTATACAAAATAGGCTCATTTAGTGTAAAAGCATGATAAAAACTGCTTTTTCATTATGATAAGATTTCCTTACCATTTATACACAAACATGTAGGAAAAAAAGACTTTAGTGAAATACACCCAAATTTTAAGAGCACTTTTTAAAAGAGTGTGATTTATGGGTAAATTTTTCCCCTTTCGTTTTTTTGTACCTTCCAAATGCTCTATAATCATCATCAGGGAATTCACAATCTACGCACAGTAAACATTTTCTTAAAGCACTGACTGGTCTTTGGTTAGAAACTGTTAAGTGCCATTTGCCGGGCCTGATCAAAAGCTCTGGGGCTGACAGGAAGCCATGGCCTTGGGCTCTCCTGGGCCTTGCCTGTGATCACAGAGCTTCCGCCCACAGCTCCTCAGGAAGACTTACAGTCTGCAAGCGGCCAAGGGACTTTCTCACATGGTGGCCCCGTGGTTGGTCACTTCCATGCAGCTTCACTGAATGGCCCCCATGATCCAAATACCAACTACACTAAGACCTTAAAATAAGATGCACCATTCTGCTCACTGTGCATTTCCTCCCTAGTGCCCTGCCACCCACCTCCCGTCTTCCACTCCCTCTCAAATGGCAAGAGTCTCCGTCAAAATAATACCTTTACTCTGAAGTTCCTGAACCACAAACGTTTCAGATCTCAGAGCCCTATAAACACACTCAGGACATCCTCTGCTAGGTGCTATTGGTCCTCTTAAACACGTGACCTGCTTAGGCACAGGGGGCCCTCCCCTCAGTGCTCAGAGGGATGCTGCTGAGTGGAGGGATGGGGCAGGAGCACATCAGCTTGCCCAGAAAGTTTGTAAAAATTTTGAGTATGCTTGGGAGAAGGGAGAAGGCTTTTTTTCCTAATTCTGTCTTCCTCCCATATCTTAGTGGATGGAATAAAAAGATGTTTGCTTCTAAAGAGACAGAGGGTGTTTGGTCACAATGAACACAGATGACTAATATTTTGGTGTTCACTTTTTATTTGAAGAGCTGCTCAATGACATACCAAGGTGAAAGCATCAAATGAGTGGTAATACTTAAGTAGCTAATGAAATATATGGTTGCCACTATGAAGAACTCCAAAATCACTTAAATGCTAAAAGAAGATGCAGTTGTTCAGTAATAAATGGAACTCCTCACTGAACTGAAGGGATAGCCCTTAAAAGCGGAATGGCCTATAGGTTCCCTCTTAACAAATATACCTGGTAGTAGCTGCCTGGAGCCCCCAGTTCAGGAGGATTCTGGGCTCAGTGGGAAAGACTGTGGTCAATTAGCAATGGCTGTCAGGGGTAAAGAGGGCACAGTGGAGACATGCAACTACATATTTGCCATTTTTTCCTAAGGAGATATGCCATTGCTCATTCTTTTTCATAATACTCTTAGGTACTTCACAGACCCAAACCCTAGGTATCCCCAACACCCTCCTTCTCCTCAGCTTAGAGTGGCTTATAGAAGAGCTTGCAGGAAGCCATTACCATTCCTTCCACTCTCTCCTCTTCTTAGTCCCCTACCTCACCTCCAACGGGAATCCAAAATATAGCTCTAGGTCCAGAGTATCAGCCATGAGAGGCCCTCCCCTTGGATGGGAAATAATACATGCCACTAGGAGAGCTGCTCACCTCACTGCCCTTACAGGAAGGCAAAGAGTACAAAGCAGTTCTCAGTGGCTTCTGAAAGTTAAGGCACCTTAGCACAGGGTCTGCAGATCTGTTGAGAGCTGTGTAGAAAAGGCCGTGGGCCTGGCATCTGGAAGCCAGGGATGCAGTTGGGACCTCTGGCAAGCCACTCCCTTTGCAGGGCTTCAGAGTCCTTCTCTGTAGAGTGGGAATCATAATACCTACTCTACCTTCACAGAAACTATGAATATTAAATAAGAAAGTGAATGTGGCCATGGTCTGAAAACAGCAGAGCCTTTTGCAAATTACCTCGTTATATTACCTTGTTTCTCATTTTAAAGCCCAGTCAATTTAATTTTTCAGGGGGAGTTACTGCTGCATCAATAGACTTCCCCAGCCTCTGCTTCTCCCTCTCTCTTCTGCTGTGCTTGCTTTTGGACTACCTCATTATTAACTAGTAATGTAAGAAGTAGGAAGTAAGAAACTCAATTCTATTAGCTTTCTCATTTGATTCTCAGGCTTACATCCAACATCCCACTGAACCAACCAATGTTGTCATTCTTCAGATTTAACAATAATCATGTGTATTGGTTACATTTTATTATCTGTTGGCACTGTCTGAAGTAGCTTTACATATATTAATTCCTTTGGTTCTCATAATAACCCTAGGGAATAGGTGACATTTTATTCCCTTTTATAGGTAAGACCTAGAGACGTTACCCAGTAAGCATCAGAGTCAGGATTCAAACCCAGGCTATCAGATTGCAGACTTCACACGCCTAATCACCATGTACCTACGAGATTCCCTTCCAGCTGTTATTGTTTTTTCTATAGCTGGGGGCCTCTATGTTTCCTACACCTTTTAAAAAATTCAACATGCAACATTAACGTCGACACTTTTGAGTATGTACAATTTGGAAGCATGCAGAGGAGAATAGAAAAAGCACTAGAACTAGAATTTGCCTGGCATTCCAAAGGATATCATATGGACATGTAATCTAGCATTCCCACCTCTGTCTCCATTCCATCTATGGTGGGTAAATCTAAATTTTACTTCTGGATCCAAATTTTTAACAGTCAAGAAGACATATCAAAGACAGGAGCACAGACTAGTAAAAATCTAGACACCTTGCTTTTACTGTACCCACACATTCTTATAAGGAAAAGAAGACAGGCCACGATATCCTGTCTGGTATATTAAATTACTCATGTACAATCATTAGTGTCTCTTTCAGTAAAATTTTTTCAGTTGACTGGAAAAAAATCTTTATGCTCAGTCTGGACAGTGGTGTTGGCATTTCCAGGGTCTTGCTGTCCACAAAGCTTCCTTTGGGCAACCCAAGGTTATAGAAGAATTTCTGGGGCCCACCCTTCCAAACAGGATTGTCCTTGAAAAGGAGAGATGCTAAGTCTTGAGCAAGTTCCTCAGATCCAAGAAAGTATGGATTACTTGTAGGACTAAATCCAGGTCTTTGGAAACTGGTGTAAACTAGCTGAGGACATTTCAGTTGACATTGAGCATGTGCTGTTGCCACAGGAGGCACTCCCTCTGCATGGTGGGCCGGGCACCTTTATAAAAGGAGAGCTGGCCAGTCAGCAAGGGCTTTGGTGCTTTCAGAAAGGCCTCGTGGCTTCAGAGGTGCCTGTAAGCTCCTCCTAGAGGAGTCCTTGAAGCAGCACTTCTCACCTACTGTGTACAGTATACATGATTCACCCAGAGATCTACCTAAAATGTAGATCTGTTTCAGCTGCATTCAGGTGGGACCTGAGATTATGCATTTCTAACAAGTGCCCAGGCGATGGTCCAGGAATCATGCTCTTGAGCATCAAGTGTTACTCTAAATCATTTGGGGAATTTGCCACTATACATCTTAACAGTCCATGATGGTGGAGGTACCAAGAAACCTATGACAAGATCCTGGTCAGTCTGTCTTCTTGATACTAGGGAAATAAAGGAACAGGTGGCAAGGTAAGACCCAAATGAGCAAGTGTAGCAGGTACTCTTTTATTTTTAGGGCCTATTGTACTTTCTAGAAGAGACAAGCATTTGAATGTTCATTTGTGAACAAAAATCAAGTCATGATAAGCTTACATTGTCAACATTTAATGCCTTTTATTATGTGCACATGTGCATAACCTTTTCTTACCAGGCTTTCTGACCCATTGGGGCAGCTTCCCACATGTGGATTCTTTTTCTTTCTCTAGGCTCTTGACCATACTATAAGAGTAAAATCAGGAATTGGACTTTTTCTGGGTCACAAAGAGTTTTCCTGTGAGGTTAAATCCCTGGCTCTCCAGCTGTTAGTGGCAAATTGAAAATACCAGTCTCACTCCTGTCAGTGAGCTACAATTAGAGGAATTTTTCTGGTAGATGTGTCCCTGCTTTGTAAGAGAAAAAATGTAAAGCCACACATTTTCTTGACTTTTTTGACACTGGGAGGGGACCAGTGTCAATCAAGGCAAGAAAATGGGGGCCCATGGACTCTGACTCCAGGGAGGGCTATCAAAGCAACTTCAACCACAACAGCACACAAACCTGTCATGGTAACAGGTGCCTCACGACCCTACTCTCCCCAGAGCTCATTAGAGGAGGAAGGAGAATACTCCAGGAAAATAAAATAAAGCTTTGAGAGAATCTGAAAGGGCAAAGGTCTTTAGTAGTGAAATTGGAAAAGGTAATAAGCTCTATCTTCTCTTGTGAACCATTTTTAAGCAGGGGTAAATCTGTCACTTTGTCACTAAATAAAATACACAAAAATACTGAGGGGAAAAAAATGAATGGCACAATTGCTATTATTTAGATCCGTAACAGCTATTTTATTATCCAGCTCAATCA